CCCACTGGATCAGGAGCCCCGGTGGCCACTTCTGGCTCTGGGCTGGCAGGCTTGGAGCTGGCACAGGTACTGTGGCCAGGGTCTACCCTTTTAATGGCTCCCAGGGTGGGAGAGAGGAGAGTAAGTTTTCCTGGTTGTGTCCAGAGTGGCTACCAGTGCTCCCTGGGAAGGGCTAGAGGCCCCCTATTTCGAATTAAGTATCTACACAGCACTTAATTCGAAATAGCCAGGGCTCAACAATCTATGGAATCTACTTGCCCTTGGTGAGTAGATTTTAGCCCAGCACCCAGTTTACCGGTGGCGCGCGCATGTGCAATGCGGCTCTTGCACATGCACAGTGCGGGGCTGGCGAGTGGCCTTCACCGCGGTTCGTCAAGCCCTGGAAATAGCTATATTGAATTTGGCATTACTCCTCATAGAATGAGGTTTACCAAATTCTAATTACATTCGAAATAGCGGTTTGCATGTATAGACGCTATTAAATTAATTTGAAATAACGGCTGTTATTTCAAATTAACTTTTTAGTGTAGACATATCCTATGAGGTGAAGGACGTAGCTAGGCCATCTTCCTGCCAATGTTTCTGCATTCCTATTCAAAGGGTAGAACATGTCTGGTCTTTTAAAAGTTTTAAGAGACAACATTTCCACCAGCTGATGAGATTGGCAAGAGCATCTGAATCCACTGAAATAAAATTCCAAACTCTCTTTGACCCCAGCTAAGAGAAAGATAGGTCAAATAATTGTATTGTATCCATATTGTACTGGCTTAGGTGTCAATGTGCCTAAAGCAGTAAGAAAATCTGAGTAGTGCCCCCACAACTGGAAGTTTCTCTAAATTCAGACACACAATTACCCACCCAACCTCAGCTGTTCCTTAAATGGAAAGAGCTTTGTTACAGAGACTCCTCAAGGCAGGGGATTTTAAATATCAGTTAATTAATTAATTGAGTAGTCGATGGAATTTCCATCCACTAGTCGATTAGTTGTTAAGGGGGGACATTCCCGCTGCCACTCTGCACTTTAAATATAGAAGAGTTCACTTTGTGGGCTCTTACTACATTTAAAATGCAGAGCTGAACTGGGATTAGCTCCCAGGGACAGCACGAGCTGGGGCTGAACAGTCCTGGTTGGCACCGTCTCTGGGACCACTGCCTCTCTGTCTCCCCTGTCCTGCAGGGACAGTGCTGGGGGGAACCATCTTTTAGGTCAGCTCTCCCCAGCATTGGCAAGGGTGCCATTTTGGGAGGATAAGTGGGGCAGCAGCCGTGTGCTCCAGGATGCGGTTAGCTTTTCATCCTGTTCCTTGGATGCTAAAGGAGCGAGGGGAAAGTACTTTCATTCCGTGCATGCCTTTCACACCTGGCTGGTGAGCTCCCTTCAACAGCCAAGTATGAGAGACATGCACAGAATGTGAGAACTTTCCTTTCATTCCTTTAGCATCCCCCTACCCTCCCGAAATGGCACCCTTGAGCATCAGCTCCTGCTCCCCTCCCCACCACTGTTGCCGCCTCTGATATAGAGGCGTAATAGAGAGGTAGCCGTGTAGTCTGATCTTGCTAAAACAGAAGGAAAAACTATGTAGCATTTTAAAGACTAACAAGATGGTTTATTAGGTGATGAGTTTTCGTGGGCCAGACCCACTTCCTCGGATCATATTCTGGAAGAGAATTGGCATGACCATATATACCGAAGGAATGCAATGAAAAAAGTAAACAAAGGCATAGAGGCAGCAGGGTTGGGGGCGGAAGCGACTAATTGAGTACTCACTTGACTAGTTGCTTACATCCCTATTCAGGGTAGGCAGTGCCTGCACTATTAGTCAAATAGATTCTGATTCTTAATTGCAACTATATATTACCTCTGACTGTACCTTTTTAACCTCAGATTTGCTTATCTGCTTTTAGATGTTCCCAGCCTTGCAGAATTCATATAAAACACAGTTAATCCATGTCCAGCTCTGGAAGAAAATCCAGTCCTTAAAACTGCACAAGTGTCATAAAAACCTTCAAGTCGGAAAAAATATACTCTTAGGGAATTGGTTTATCACAATTTGAGTGCCATCTTGTTCCCTTTTGTGTTACAGGGAGCATACTCTGCCTTGAACTCCATATAGTTCAGAGACTAAATGGAATGCCTGGATAATATATTGCAACCATGAATGTTACTGGCAAAAATGGCATTACTTGGCATTAGAAGTTGGACAGAACAGGATTCTCAAACAGAACTCTTATGTGACTGTGGCAAAAGGTCCTTAATGATATTTGTCAATCTTTTCTTGACAGAAAAACTAAAAGAATGTCGTCTTTCTCCAATACCTCCAACCCATGGAATTATTATCGCCTCAAGTTTGGTCCTTGTCTGCATCTTTCTTGTGGCCCTTGCCTTGCTTTTAAAATATTTCCAGTGTTATGGTAAGTACAATTCTTTTAGTGAGAGACATATTTATAGGCTATCTTTTGATGCCTCATAGAAAAACTTAGTAAAAAGTACCATTTGGAAATCCTTCTGTTGATAGATGATGGAAGTGCAGAATATGCTATGTTCTTTATTACTAATAGTAAAAGCCAGTGACACAGAGATAGTGGAGAGCCATATCAAGGCTTTCCTAAAGCAGCTTTTTCCTAAAGCAAGCAATCCTAAAGATTGGCAGCTACGTGGATCTAGAATTTTAGGTTGATCCATTATTGGCAGGGAGCAACTGAGCCATTTGGGTTGGGATCGGAAAATTCTGCAAAGCTGAATGATATTTAGAACAGGGTGTATTTGGCTCAGACCCCGCTTTATGTACTGAAACATATAAAGAAGCTGACACTTGCTGCACAATCATCAAAAATACAGTTGAGACTTTGCCACCTCCCAAAATAAGGAGTATCCTCAAGTCCTCTCCTCTAACAACCTCCTATTTGCACCATTTCCTTGCTTTGCCCAGAATAATCTAAGGGCCAGACTTGCCCAGCTATTTGGGCACCTAACAATGCAGAGAGGCACCTAGGAGATTTACAAAGGAGTTGTAGGCCTCTAACACCTATTGAGAGTCAATAAGCATTAGATACCTATCTCGCTTGTGCACTTTTAAAAATCTACCTAGAAGCCCCTCTATACCATTAGGTATCTAAATACTTTTGTAAATCAGGCTCTGTAAAAATGCATGAGCCTTACAGTGTTCTCTGAGGCTCAGATGATCTAGGATCTGCTCACAGGGGAAGTGAGCTTTGGAGTCCAGAACCAGCCCCCTTCTGAGAATGCACTGTCAGTAGCTATTTAAAGGAAGAGTTATAGAGAAATAGCCGTGTTAGTCTGATCTTGGTTAAAAAAAACCCCAACCCAGTCATGTAGCACTGTAAAGACTAACAAGTTAGTTTATTAGATATTATTAGGAAGAGTTGTCGGCCTCTGTCAGCTGCTCATAGTTGCTGTGTTGTCCTTTGGCAGGAGACAGCACTGCATAGTTCGGACCCCAAGTCACTGAATGCAGGGTTGGGAAACCCAAGGCCCAGGGGCCAGGTGTGGCCCCCAGCTTGTCTGGATCCAGACCCTCAATGCCCCACTGCAGGGCTGGAGCATGCAAAATTTACTAGTCTGGGTCTCCCTAAGCTCTGGTGTGTGAAGGGAATGTGGGGAGTGTCTGTCTCCTTCTCAGCTGGGGGCCATCCCAGTGTGAGGGTTAGGGGGGCTTTTGTTTTATTTTTTTGCTTTTCACAGATTCCCAAGGAGTTGGGGGGTTGTTTTCTATCTGCCAGCCCTGCAAAATCACCCAGGTGCTGAAGGGCAAGCAAGGCTATTTTCTCCTGGTGTTCCTGTGCCAGACAGAGCAAGTGGAGGAACACTCCCCACTCCTTCTGCCTGTGGCCCTCCCCACAGCCCTATCCCTTTCTTCCTGTTTCCCTTTCCCCACCCCCATTCCCCCCAGGATTCCCCCCCCCCCATTCTGTCCTCCCACGTCAGCCACACAACCAACCCCTTTTGTGCATTTCTCCCCTTCCATGCCCTGTAGTCCCCAAACTGGAGAAGCTCTGTCCCCAGGCCACTGCCCTAGGGCACAGCAGGAAGTAAGAGCTACTCCAGTCCTAGAGCCTCAGAGGGGTCCAAGTGCTGGGTTCCCCTGCCACACCCCAATCTTCTGCCAGTTCACAGGTCAGATGTGGGGGCTTGGGTGAAAGGCACCAGTGCTTCCCCTAGCTGGGGGCCTCTGCTGGGGATGGAAGTTGGGTCCATTGGGGGTAGAGATCTTTGCCTGGGGACAGAATCCAGACTAATGAGGGAAGAAAGAGGGTTTGGAATAGTGGCTACTGCAGAGGTAGGGTGGGTGTCTTCTGTCCTCTAGCTTCAGCTGGGGATGGGTTCAGAAGCCATGCAGGGCTTGCCCCATGCTGCCTTCTGCCACCAGGCAGCAGAATTTTTCCAGCCTCTCCCCCAGTTGGCGGGACCCCACAGGCCCAGTGGCTGATCCACCACTGTACACCATCACCAGTGAGAGTTCTACAAGTCCCCATTATCGTCAATCCTACGGATGCACCCAAAAGAACAGAGCCCAGCTCACACCTGAGGTCAGCAGACACATGTGTGAATCCCCACAAGAAGCACATTTGCTGCGTAAGGCGGTGCTAGTTTACAGTCCCCTGGCAGAGTAGAACTTCATTTTTAGAAGCTGGAATCTCAGACCAGCTTTCAGGTGTTTAAGGTTGAGTTACACTTCAGTGAAAAGGGAGATGCAAAGTGCTTCAGGCCCAGGTTCCTTCAGGGAAATTGTTTCACCCTGCAGCTAGTCCTGAGAACTCTGCAAATGCTTCAGGAGTGCAATGTTAACTTGGATTGAGAGCTGGTTCCAGTCTGAGAGAGTCCAGTTTCTTAGCTTAAAAGGTTTGTTTCGGAGCTGAAGGAGGGGCGAGGATGGAAATAAGCAGCAAAAGAGGGGAAATGGGTGGACTCGGCTGGACTGGGTGGTTGAGGATTTTAGTTGCGTCTTTGTGGTAGTGCTCACAGTTTGCTAGGCACTCTCCAGACATTTGAAAAGGGACACTCCCTGCTCTGTGGGGCTCAAGATCCGAGGCCAGCCTGGGCAATCTTTGCACCTAGTTATATGTTAACCGTGCACAATCTCTAACCCTGTGCTAGAAAATGGGCTTATGGAAAAAAGGATGAGGGGAAAGGTAGCAAAACATTTTTTTCTCTGCTTTCTTTAATCCATTTAACAGAATAGGCCAAATTAAGAGGTCACTTAAATAGCAGCATCAGATTTATGCTATGATGCTGGTGTGAGCCTGATTTACTATAACTTTCCAAGGGGACTCTGATTAAATTATACAAGGAAAACCAAGGATAGGGTATAAAACTGTGGGGAACCTTGCTCCTCCTAGACACTGCATTACTTCTTATGCACTGACCCCCACCTTTCTGCCTATTAGGTGTGTAACCTAGGCTCATTGATCGGCCTGTAACTTACAATAAATGGTGTCTGTCATCTGAATTTGTCTCAGCATGTACAGCGAAATTTAGTTATTTATTTTTGCGCGTTCTGACGTCCTAGTTCTGCACTAGTGGGATTTGATGTGTATCTGTGACCAATGTTCCCTCTGAGCTGGGTGGTCCCACAGCTTCCCAGGTGATTAATCAGCCCCAGTCAGTCAGCTCTGTGCAGGGAGTCCTGGGCAGGGCGGATTAATCACCTGGGAAGCTGTGCTGCCTCCAGCTTAGAGGGAACACTGGCTGTGAAATCACCTAAAAGGCCCGAGCCAGCCAATGAGAATATGGTGAGGGACAATCACTCTAACATGCTGAAGGGAACAGTCCTGCCAAGTGAGTGATGGCACCACAGCTGAAGGCTCGTCTGCATCTGATTTCTTTGCTTATACTCCTATTCTACACCCGCGTGTACCCATAGTCAAAGGGGTCAAAATGTGACTGACGAAAGCATTTGGATCCAGCACTGCAGAGTGCACTCGAATTCTGAGCACTTAAGGATTTTTATTCTTTCTTTAGCCTGTGAACAACTGAGGAGTTCCCACTACCCTGTCCCTCACGAGCCAGCAGTGGGAACTGCATTGAAAGAAGTGACATCATTCACCTCTTTGAAGTGACATCGGAAGCAGCATCTTTCTGATTAGACCATATTTACAGGTAACTTTCTCTCCCATTTGTTGCGGCAAAATGAATGCTCCTATACTATGTGCTGATAATGTTAGAACACAAAGTTCTCTGTTGTTTTCTGGGGCTGTAGGGCTTTGTGGTCACTTACAGCTGATTAGATGACAGGGTCTTCTGAAGTCAGGGTGTCCCTCAGCCAGATATCTGCAGAGATTTTGGATTTGGTTTAGATTTAATGTGACAGATGCCAATCATCTTCAGTTTCTCCAGGGCTCTTGATCCTTCTCGCAATATAATCAGTATGGCTTTTGGGGCCAGTTCCTCTCATGCCGCCCCTCCAATTTGCCTCACCTCCAGAGCTCACACCAGCAGGGGCAGAAAGAGGAGCTCTTTCTTTGATAAATCTAGCTCTTGGCTCCTTTGCACAGATTGCAGACCAGAAGGCTGTCTATTGCCTTAGAGGTGGGTTTGCTCATTCCACAAGCAGGCCAACAAGCAGCTCTCATTCGCAATGTTTTTCAGTCACTGCACAATTGTATCCAATTTGATCGATTCACCAGCAATCAGCCTCTCACCAGCCTCTCACGTGGATAATCTTTCATGTGAATTGCACATAGATCACGTGCCTCTCCGGCTGCATATAATGGCCACAAGGATGATCAGGGGAGGGCTGAAGAAGCAATGGGCAGAGATATAGAGGAAGGATGTGCCTGGAGCTGAATAACACCATTTTTCATCGTATTTGTCTATGGAGCTGCCAGCAGTGACTGAGCCTCCCAGCTCATGTTGACACTCACAGGCTCTTGGAGCTCATACCACGCCACTAGAACTAGCTCTGCAGGCTACCTGTTCCCCTCTCCTAGCTTCAGACCCTGAGCTCCAGCCAGAGCTGCAACATGTGCCTCTCCTGCTTTGTATAATGGCTGCAAGGATGATCAGGGGAGGGCTATATTCAGCAAAGGTAGTGTGAACCCTGCAGGTGTGTGTCTGCTGACCTGGGCTGGGCGGTTCACTGCAGTGAGCTGTCTAGATGTACTCTAAATGTCCATCCCTCTTTGAGGTACCTCCTTCCAAACCCTCCTCTTCAGCAACTTGAGGAGAGTTTTCTCTTGGAGGGTTTCCCATAGCAGCCATGTGGTGTTCCCCAGGTAAGCCCCAGAAGCAGGAGATGGCTTGAAAATGCTGCTTACTTTTGACAGATCAAGTGAAAGATGCAGAGGAGGCTTCTGGGGAAGGGTCAGCATGGAAACGGGGTTAGAAAATGGAAGCCCAATGGTAGGTCCTGTGACTACAGGGTGAGGGAGAGCTCTGGTTACACTTCCACTATGACTTTGGACACTGGGGAGTCCCTCTCTGTACGCCTGGTACCTGACTTGGCTTACTGCCGGCATCGCCTCTCTGAGATGCTGCTTCCAAATGCTTAGAGACTGGGGAGGAGGTGAAATTGGAATTGCTCAACTGTACTGCTAACAAAGATCATGGGAAGGAGCAGAAGGCGGGAGGGAGGTGAGAGTGGCAGTGGCTTTGTAAAATAAGAGCTAATTATTATTATTTGGGGAGAAAATGATCTGGATTCTACCTCTGCTGCACCAGTGGCCAGTATGTGACCAGGGTGACAGTTGTGACGTCCCCTGGGTCACATTTGTTTGTTTTTCTCGTCTGAGAATAGACAGGCTCACCACTTGGCATACTGCGAGAACGAAAGAAGGGGAAATCATTGTAGTCATTTTTTCTCATTTCCAAACCCAGCCACCCACTCCCTGATGGGGGAAGGCCCTCTCTGGAACAGATACCAAATCTTGGTTAGCATGTAGTCCGAGGGAGTTTATCAGCACAGATTCTATGATGGGAGTTTCCCTACTGAATAAATCCATTCCATTGCATTCCTCTTTCTCAAAATCCTCCTCACTTTTCTGTAAATGCTTGGCAGTCCCAAAGCTGTAAATAGCTGCTGTCTCGTGGCCAGACCCGGAGATCAGGTGGCAGAATGCTGAGATCCATTACTACCTCTGTTGATGATCATGGGATAGTCATTTACACTAAAATGCAATTATTATCTATGACATATCAACCACAGCCCATTGTAAGTCAGACAGTTTGGTATGCTGCTGAATCATTCTTATAGTTATGGGTAGGCAGTGACCCAGCTGCACGGGGAGGCTAACCCCTGGCCCCTCCTCTTGTTCTCCCCTCTTATACCCCCCTTACCACTGCAGGAGCCCAAAGAAAGCCCACTGCAACCCATGTCCCCAGCACTGCTTTGTTTTGGGCAGTAAGGCAAGGCCTGGCCCTGGTGTGCTGCAGCTTCAGCACCCACAGCTCCTGAGTGGTGACCAGAGCTCCAGGGCTCTGGACCCCAGAGCTTTGGGCAAGCAACGCAGCCAAACCTGACTCCCTATGGGAAGTAGGCTGGTCTGGGGGCAGGGACATGATAGGCTGTTTGGGGATACGCAGCCTCCTCCTGCCTACAATACCCACTGCCCATGCTATTCTATCAATAGTGTATTAACACATAAATGAGCCAGACAGATTCCAATTCTGTGTCTGTCAGTGTCCTACTGAGACATGGAGACCTTGGCACGAGCTGGCAACTCGTCTGCCAACATCACAGCAGCTACTTGAGATACTTTCAGCATAAACAAATACGGAAAAACATTATAGGAGTTTCTGTAATCTATGATCTCATCGTATAAGAGCCTTATGTTTCATGTTAGCATGTATCCTCAATATCAGACCAAAAGCGGTGAAAGTTTGAAACTGTCTGGAAACGGGGGATTTGACTTGGTTCTCTTGGAAAGCCATAAAACAACTCAGGCTTGCTTGGAAGTTCTATGGCTCTTTCAGTGAACCTCAGGGCTCTTTCAGGCTGGGTCCATAGCACTGGATATCCGTGGCCACATTGTATGGCTTTATTCCAGGCATTTAAAAGCTCCACATAGCTCTTACTGATCTGGTACAGGCAAATTAATCCCACAAGGCTACCACCTGTCCATGGCTGGGCAATGTCGCCTCCTGATCTAAGTCCAATCTTCAGGGCTCAGCGTGCAGGGACTTTATCTCTGAAGCAGGCTCTGTGACCAGCAAGTTCTAGCTGGCAGTGACCAATGAGGGCTTCAATCCACACAAGGCCAGTTTTCGATAATTCATTCCTCTTACTGATAAAAGTCAAACCCTCAAAAATACACTTGAATCACCGTTCGCAATGCATACGAAATGCCTCCTGTCGCCCGTTGTCTTGTTAAGCAACCAGACTAGGGAGTGAGGGTAGCTGTGAGCCTGGCCCAAAGTGCATTTAACTCAAGTGGAACAGCTTCAACAAATGAAAAAAGCAGCAAGCTCGGAGCTCTTACAGCACAGGGGCAGTCCCCTGCATCAGGACAGACTCAAACCCACACTTGCTAAGCACCCAGTCTAAACCTCTAAGCACCCAGTCTAAACCTCTTGGCTACAGGGAAAGTCGGAAGTAGTTCTTGGCCTAGTCAACATTTAATTAAACAGCTTCCACAGGCATGAGGGAATCACACCCCACATTGCCCAGGGAACACACACAGTACAACTGTGTTTGAAACCCCTCCAAAGCCTTTCTTAAGGCAGGCAGCGGGAGGAGCAAATCCCCAGCACCTCTAAGCAAGGCAGGCAGTCTAACTACTGGACTACAAATTGCAAAGTTGTTGCTGCTCAAATAATATTTAACTAAAGCACATCAGCTTCAGCAGGCAAGCTCACAGGGTCCCCAGCCTCCATCATCACCATAACTAGCTGTATAACCCAGGCATGCACATGGATTGCAGCACATTCCTCTTCCCACACACTCTTTTCAGGGAACAGAAAGGGGATTTGACCCAGCAGCTCCCCTAACACACCACAGAAGCCCTACCTCTGGCCTAGAGAGGTACCCTCATACACCACAGGGGAAATTAAGGCGGTATGACTGGCCAGACTGGGTCAGACCAATGAGCCTGCTGGCTAACAGTGCCCAATGTCAGATGCTACAGAGGCAATGGACAGAAAAGGGCAATAAGCAAGTGATCCATCCTCTGTCAGCCACTCCCAGCAGCTGGCAGTCTGAGGTTTAAGGATGCCTGGACCATGGGACTGTGTCCATGACCGTTTTAGCTAATAGCACTTGGTGAAGTTTCATGCAATTGCTCACTTTTCAGGTTGGCCTTCATGCCATCGATTGGCAAGGAGTGCCACCTGCTGTCTGTGCCATGCAGAAAGATGTATCACATTTGGTTTGGTTTAAACCTGCTGCCTAGTTATGTCCTCAGGTCACCCTGACTCTTGCATTTATGTAAATAACACATCCTTAGTCACGTCGCCACGTGGTTTATAGAGCTCTAGCAAATCCCACCTTGGTACTGGCTTGCCCATGCTGAAATGGGAGCCAGCCTCCACTTTCCTGCAGGCACAGGTGAAGTAGGCTAAAGGTTACATGGTAGATGCCAAAAATAATTTCTCGTGAGGTACCTTTTAATACTCCACCAAACAGCTAAGGTGAGCTGGGGAAGGAGGCTGAGGCCTAAGTGGTTCCTGGCTAGGGAATTACATGCAGAGGTAGGTGCCTGGGAGGGGATAGATACTGTTTCAGTTTCCTGCTCTCTGCCTAAGGAGAAGAAATTTGTCTAGGGCTCTGTATTCTCTAAGGCTACAGCTACACTACAAACTTTTGCATTTAACTCAAGTGGAACAGCTTCAACAAATGAAAAAAGCAGCAAGCTCGGAGCTCTTACAGCACAGGGGCAGTCCCCTGCATCAGGACAGACTCAAACCCACACTTGCTAAGCACCCAGTCTAAACCTCTAAGCACCCAGTCTAAACCTCTTGGCTACAGGGAAAGTCGGAAGTAGTTCTTGGCCTAGCCAACATTTAATTAAACAGCTTCCACAGGCATGAGGGAATCACGCCCCACATTGCCCAGGGAACACACACAGTACAACTGTGTTTGAAACCCCTCCAAAGCCTTTCTTAAGACAGGCAGCGGGAGGAGCAAATCCCCAGCACCTCTAAGCAAGGCAGGCAGTCTAACTACT